TGGCAAGGAGGGCCCAGCGCAGCGGCTGCCTCCCTCCTTTCTTGCGCTCCCCTCCTCCCTCCATTGTCCCCCTCGTGGTGGTCCTGGCTCCGGCGTCCTTCCAGGGGCCGGCACCGCCGCGTCTGCACCGACTTTTGCAGACGTGGAGCTGTCACTGTCCTTCCTCTTGAGAGTGTCCTTTTCTGTAGGAGAGAAGAAGGGGTAAAAAGTAACCGTGAACGCATTCTAAGGGTCGAAACACGAGGAAGACATGCTTTTCAAGTGGAGAACTCAAGTTTTCAGACTTAGTTTCAGGCCGCGACTTAGGAACCCTGGGTTCCTGTGTCCGAGAAAGACTTTGGGCCTAAAGTGATTGCCGGAGAGTAACCAGATGAACTGACCAACTACCTAAATCTGCGTGTTTCCCATAAGGACTCAACGAATTTTCTTGGTTATAATTGTATCCTAATCTTGAACACTTGCTGCCCTTCTTCCAAAGCTGCATTTTAATTGTTTTGGAGGGGTTGGGGTGGGGAAGGCAGAATGGGGTTTTTCTTTGAAAATTAGACAGTTGAAGTAGCCATCTGTCATTGCACTTAGGTGGGTTCTCCTGAATCTGTGCCTTGTAAGTTTTATTTTAAGAAAGTATGTAAAGGCACTGTATTTCTACTCTCAAAATAGGCTAAAGATATTCTCAACTGAAATGAAGGTCTCAGCAGATCTGGTAAAAGCCAGTGCTGTGTAGTCACAGATTTACTTAAGGTACAGTTACTATGTTTTTAAGCTTTAGAACCAAAGGTAGAAAGTGTACTGGTTCTTGAACATGGATGTACTTTTTCTTGGGTGAGTTTGTGTATTAGAAGAAAAACTCAGTTTTTCCTACCATGTTCTCACAACATCCTTCCACACCAGATTTTGGGAGGGGTTCCCCCACACAGAAAGCAGGCAATCTATTCTACAATGGAGGCCTAGGTGTGTTGTGGAATTCAGTTCAGTTTGGATGCCATCTACCTGGAGGTGGATTTAGATATCACAGGTCGAGAGCTTATTCCCACACTTAGTTTATCAGTTTATTATAAAGGATACAGATGAAGAGATCTATAGAGCAAGGCATGTGAGAAGGGGTGTGCCTCCCTACAGGGAGGGAAGAGAGGGTCAAAGGTTAAATTGATCACCAGTGACCAATGATACTTAATCTATCATGCCTAGGTAATGAAGGGAATGAAGCCTTCACAGAAAACAAAAGGATGGGGTTCAGACAGCTTGCAGATAGTTGAACACATGAAGTTCTTGAAGGTTGGCACACCCCTTCCCACAGGCCTTGCTCTGTTTATCTCTCTATCTGTATCCTTTATAATAAACTGATTAGATGTTTCCCTGAATCCTATAAGCTGCTCTAACAAATTAATAGAACCTAAGGAGCAGTCATGGGAACCCCAGTGTATAGCTGATCAGTCAGAAACACAGGGAGAACAGCCTGAGATAGGCATAGGGAGTTGGGGGCAGCCTTGCGGGAATAAGCTCTCAACCTGTGAGATCTAAAGCCATCTCCAGGTAGATGGCATCCACACCGAACTAATTCCACAACATATCTTCTCCATTGTAGAATTGGGGTTGGGGTAGGACTGAAAGTAACAACTCTATAATCCTACCTTGGTCTTTCCTGTGACCAGCAGCCTCCATCCTGAAGCTACTTAGGGGGCTATCAACCTTTATTCAGCTCATTAGCATACAAAAATTTTATTTGGAAATTGCAAGGATTTTAGGAGTTGTACTTGGGCAACTAAATGAAGACCTAATACCTCACAATTCACAGAACCCAAAAGGATTCTTTCATCTTCAACATACTAGTCAAATGAACAGGATATGGTATGAAATAAAAAATGAGTGCAAGGTATTTCTTAAGTGTATTCTATAATAAATCCTTTTTATATTCTTTTAAAAACACACCTTTGCACCTGTTGGGAGAGACAAACCAATGATCCCTAAATCGAAACATTTAGAATAATTTAGAAGAGCTTTTTAAAAATAGAAATTCCAGAGTTTCATCTTCTGAGATTAATTTAGTAGGTGTGTTTGTTTCTACCCATTTATTTTTAAGACATGCCTTAGTAATTCTGATGGTCTTGGGAACTACTGAGGCAAACACATTGTTAACTTAAACAAGAGTAGCTCAAAAGCTTGGAGATAGATGGGGAGCAAGTAGCCAGTTCTGTCTGGGAGATGACCAGAGGAGAGTGCAAAACTTGCGTCTTGACTGAGTTTGGTCTTAGATGATGAGGAGTGTGATGGATGTAGGG